ATATTTAAAGATGTTTATCTTATTAATATTTGGCCAAAATATTTAAAATACTCTAAATTAAGGACGTAAATCTTTTTTTGTGTGTGCACAGGACGTAAATCTTAAGTATAGATAATTTGTGTTAAAATTCATACGATGGAAATTATATAAAATATACTAGGTGAGTTCATTGAGAGCATTCCCAACGAAGGTTTCTTCCATAGTATCTAAATAATAAAATATCAAAAAAAATTATAAAGGTAAGAGAGAAAGACAAAGAGATTATTGTTAAACAACCTTTACTAAGTTTTTAGAAACCCAAATATCATTTCTTGCTATTTTATTGGTTTTGATAAATTAATATTTAAATAAATAATTAAATTAGATAAAAATTATTATAATAATATATATACGATATTCAATGGGTTTCTCTCAATCTTAGAGTACCTGAAGTGACTATTGACACATAAATAAGACATGTACATTGAACTCAAAGGTTAAGCGTTTGGATATAAAGTAGGGTTGATAACACTATAGGGCACTTTTTCAAGTTTCCCTTACATTTTAGACACTTTATGATGCTGAAGACACTTTTTTACTGTTCACACCATTTTAGTACCAAATTACCCTCATCTCTTGTTTCAACAAATTACTCTCATCTCAAAGATAGATAATTATGGACACATGATCATGGATAAGGGATAAGTAATTTTGAGTATATGATCGTGGACGAGATATCATGAAAATAGTCTTTTCTTTCTTATGGTCTGGATGTGAGAAATTTGTCCATATGGTTAACACCGTTTAGATTTAAACCAATCGAAGTTGTGGACAATCCATGTGTGACCATCCACGTGAGAGAATCCATGTGTGACCATTCACCAACATCCATCCATACGTGATATGCTAATAACATCACAATCTTCAACGATGCGAGTTTTGACAAACCCAGATGCCGTATGTCTAACTCGCTATATGCTTCCTATCCATTAGCGAGTTACCATCTGCGTATAACAATCTGATTTTTCTTTGAGGCATTTTCCCAAATACGTTGTGTGCGTTTTTTCAATCCTTTTGTTTGCCATATAAATCCAGAAAAATTACAGCTAAAACTCATCTTTATGAATCTAAACCAACCATCAAACTTTGGTTTAATCTGAGATCCTATTCAAAAGGCAACAAATTGATTTACAAAAAAAAAAAAGGAAGAAGAAGAAAATCAAAAGAATAGTGAGAGGGATGAAAAAATTGATTTACACAATTGATTTTTCCATGTTAGATCTCTTCTTCTTGATTTTCCATGATTTTCCCATGATTTCCTTTGTGTGCATTTTTCCCATGAAAAATTGATTTACAGAAGATAGGAGGAGAAGAAAGTTTTAGAAAATGTGTGTTAGGATCAAAAACGTCATTTATATAAAAAAAAGTATGTTTGTTTTTTAAAATGTCTTTATGTGTAAAGTGTTTAGCATAAAGTGTCTATAGGTGTAATTTTTCCTATAGAGTAATGCCTATCTACTGTTGTAAATGGGAAGGTTTGACTATAGAGCAAGTAAATTTGTAAGTTTGGATAAAAACGTGTTAATGGCTGTTGGATAAGATATTTATAGCCATGTGTTGTGTAATTCGGTGACTCTCCTATATATCAAAGGTGAGTCATAAGACACGAAGAAGACATGCTTTGAACTAGGTTGGCCACAGAACGGATTAGAGGACAAAATATAGTATTTGTGATTCGATTTTTTTGTCGGATATCTGGATATTTACGGATATCCGAATATTCACGGATATCCATTTTAAACTAGAAATAATACAGTATTTGTGATTCGATTTGCTTTTCTTCGAAAAATTTTGGATATCCAGAATTACGGATATCCGAATATTCAGGGATATCCATTTTAAACTAAAAATAATAATTAAAACCCTATATTTTAAAAATAAATACTTTTACTATAATATTTCAACTAACTAACGAATAAATTATGAAATTATCTAATTTTATTCGATAAAATT